ACTCCAGCCTGGGTGACAGAGTGAGACTCCAACTAAAAAAAAAAAAAAAAACAAAAATGTGAGAAATGCCACAAAGGAGGGCTGTAAAAATCGTGCTGTGTTCCACTCTTTGTCTGTGTATCCTCACTTAGAGATAATGTCAAAATTCTGTTGTGGATAGGAAGCTAAAAAGCGTCCTTGTATCCTCTTAGGCCTTAATCCCACTATCCTGGCTAGGAGCAAACGAGAAGTCAGAAAAACAAGGATGAATCACACACGTCACAAAGATGGTGGTTGTTTCTAATATTTATTTTTCTGGTTATAAAAGTAATATGTGAAGAGCATTGGATTTGGTGAGAACATTTTGAGCCCTGGCCATTGCGTACTACCTGCGAGGATATAGACCAATCACTTCTCAGAACTACTGTTTCCCGATCTAGGAAACAGGATAGTGAGCCCTGTCTTGCCCACTCCAGAGGGCAGTGCAGATCAAATGAGATAACAGAGGGAAAGCACTTGGTAAATTGGAAAGTGCTGGCAAATAGGAGGGATTAGTGTCACCACCCTCAGCTGAGGTAGTACCAAGGTCTGAGCTCTTGCCTCCTCCCCTTCATCTAGCCTCTAAATACACACACAAATGGAGGGTCACTGGCAGCCTTGGTTTGATGGAGTGGGGGAGGGGCTGCACAAATCTTCCTTAGGCCTGGTCAGATGGGGCCTCACAGGGGCCATTCCAGAATCGGGCATCAGCTGTGGCCAGCTGGGTGAGGACTGCCTCCAACTCAGGCCCGTCCTCTGGAAAGCGCTCGGAGAAGGATCGAATGAGGCCAGCAGCTGAGGCCTCATATTCCAGAAGCTGCACTTCTGAGCCTGGGAGGGGATGGAGACAAAACAGAAGGGGAGGGTTTGAATAGGGAAATGGGATCACAATAGTCAGTGATTGGCTCAACCTGTAATCCCAGCACTTTGGAAGGCGAGGGGAGTGGATTGCCTGAGCCCGCGGTTCTAGACCAGCCTGGGCAACTTGGCAAGTCCTCGTCTCTACACTAAATAAAAAATTAGCCAGGTGTGGCAGCGAGCGCCTATAGTTCCAGCTACTTGGAAGGCTGAGGTGGAAGGATCGCTAGAGCCCAGCAGGTTGGCACTGGGGTGGCCATGAGTGTGGCACTGTACTTCAGCCTAGGCGACAGAGTGAGACTCCACCTCAAAAAAAAAAAAATAATAATAATAACAATAATCACATGAGCAGCTAGTTCTTACTGATCTCTTATGTTGTGCCAAAAAAATTATACTCAATGTTTTAGGTTAATTGTCTCATTTCATCCTTACAATAATCCTTACAATGAATGCTTTCATTCATTCATTCATTCCTTCAGTTAGTCATAAAAAGCTTTTGTTTTTGAGTTGGAGTCTCACTCTGTTGCCCATGCTGGAGTGCAGTGGCACGCTCACGGCCCCCGCAGCCTTGACCTGTTGGGTTCAGGTGATCCTTCCGCTTCAGCCTTCCGAGTATATGGAATTACAGGCATGTACCACCACACCCAGCTAATTTTTTGGTTTACTGTGGAGACGAGGTCTTGCCAGGTTGCCCAGGCTGGTCTTGAACCCCTGGGTTCAGTCAATCCTCTCGTCTCTACCTCCTAAAGTGCTGGGATGACAGGCGTAAGCCTCTACGCCCATCTGTCAAATAAAGATTTCATTTTATTTATTTATTTTTTGAGTTGGAGTCTCACTCTGTCACCCAGACTGGAGTGCAGTGGCCACTGCCAGCCACTGCAGCCTCGACCTGCTGGACTCCGGCGATCCTTCCACCTCAGCCTTCCAAGTAGCCGGAATTATAGGCATGCGCTACCATGCCCGGATGATTTTTTTATTTATTGTAGAGATGAGGTCTCGCCAAGTTGCCCAGGCGGGTCACTAACCCGCAAATAAAGATTTTAAATCAGGTGTCATGCTAGGTTAAGACAGATACAGTTCTTGGCCTCCTGGAGCTTACAGTCCAGCAGTCGCTTCCTCTGTCTACTGTGGGACCTTGGGCAAGTTTCCCAGCCTCTCTAAGTCTCAGTTTCCACATGTGCAAAGGAGCCTTGGTGACTACGTACATCAAGTGACTATTTGTTGAGTGGGTACTCAACAAATGCTCGCTACAACCAGCGAATCATTCTCTCTGAGACTATTGACTCACCTATTAAATGGGCTGTTTCAAGGGTCCCCTGAATATTCATGGGAAGCATTCTCCTCAAACATACTTTGGCTACTCTACCCTCTCACTATGCCTTGTCATTCTCTGTGGCATTGTGAGGTGTACAGCGGTGAGGAGCACAGGCACCGGGTTCAAATGGCCAGAGTTCAAGTCCTGGTTGCCATCCACTAGCTGTGTAACCTCAGGCAAATACATAGTCTCCTGTGTCCTATTTTCCAGCAGAAAAATGGGGATAACTATTCCTCTTGGGTTGCTGGGGGTCAATCCATGGAAAGTTGTTTTTTTGGTTTTTTTTTTTTTTGCATTAAGGTCTCACTCTGTTGCTCAGGCTGGAGGGCAGTGGCATACTAATGGCCACTGCAAACTTGACCCTCTGGGTTCAGGAGATCCTTCCACCTCAGCCTTCCAAGTAGCTTGGACTACAGGCACATGGCACCATGCTCAGCTAATTTTTTTTGGGGGGGGAGTGAAAGTCTCACTCCGTCACCCAGGCTGGAGTGCAGTGGCACACTCACAGCCACCCCAGCGTCGACCTGCTGGACTTTGGCAATCCTTTCGCCTCAGTCTTCCAAGTAGCCAGAACTATAGGCGTGTGCCACCATGCCCGGTTAATTTTTTGATTTATTGTAGAGACGAGGTCTCACCATGTTGCCTAGGCTGGTCTTGAGCCCACAGGCTCAGGCAATCCACTGGCCTTGGCCTCCCAAAGCACTGGGATTACAGGCTGAGCCACCGAGTCTAGTCTAATTTTTTAATTTAATTTAGAGACAAAGGTTTGCCATGTTGCCCTGGCTAATCTCAAACTCCTGAGCTCCAGCAATCCTCTTGCCTCAGCCTCCCAGAGTGGGATTACAGGTGTGAACCACCCTGCTTGGCTCATTTTTTGTTTAGTTGGTTTTTTTTTGAGTCAGAGTCTCACTCTGTCGCCCAGACTGGAGTGCAGTGGCCGCTCCCAGTCACCGCATCCTCGACCTGCTGGGCTCTGGCGATCCTTCCCTGCCTCAGTCTTCCAAGTAGCTGGAACTACAGGCGCACACTACCATGCCCGGCTAATTTTTAATTTATTGTAGAGATGAGTTCTCGCCAAGTTGCCCAGGCAGGTCGTGAACCTGAGGGCTCAGGCAATCCACTCACCTCAGCCTCCCAAAGCGCTGGGATTACAGGCTGAGCCACCAAGCCCGGCTACCTGTTTCGTTGTTTAAGACAGGGTCTCACTCTGTTGCCCAGACTGGAGGGCAGTGGCATGATCACAGCTCACTGCGGCCTCAACCTCCTGGACTTAGGTGATCCTTCCACCTCAGCCTTCTGAATAGCTGGAACTACAGGTGTGAGACACCACACCTGGTTGATCATGTTTTTTTTTCAACAGTGCCTGGCAAATGAAAGTCCTCAAAAGTCAGCCACCATCATCATCGACATCATACTACCTTTGAAAATCCAACCTGTTCTCTAGGTCTAGTTTAACTACCACTTTCTCTCTAGAACCTTCCCAGATTCTCCTGAAGGTGGATATGATCATCCCTCCTCTAAGTGTTCAGAGCACTGTGTGTAGCTTT